CTCTATAACGATCGGCGGCCATTCTTAGAGAGCGGAAGGTCTGGGTCGAGTCTGGGCGTCCGCCATTTTGTCTTAAATTTCTGGTAATGCACCCGTTTTCAGACCTGGCCTTTAGGCAGAAATTATATTATCATTACTTAGCCGTTAGAGCGCAAACAAAAAGTTATTCAAATCCATTTCAAATTCGCATATTTCTCTTTCTTGCTTACTCATTTGGAATTGAAACGATAAATACGTTCATACACTCTGTAGTTCCGTCGAAAACCATACCCGACAAAAATGGGCAAAGTGTATACCCGTTTTCAGACCAAAACGGCGCAACATGAAAACCCTACCCGATGAGGCGGCACATACCTATTTGGCTTATATAAGGGAGTACCCCCCGGGTGTTCCCTTTGTGTATTAAATGAGCTTCTCGAGCCTTTCTCACTGCGTCACGGTTCCTGGGTATGGGTTAGAATGACGTCGTTGATTGAATGTCCAGCTTGATTAAAATGTAAGGAGACAGAAGTGGGATCGCTGAGTTGTTGGTTGTTCAAGGTGGATATATTATACTACCCGCTAGTCTCCTATACCAATAACAATCTATTGTTTTTATTGTCACATTTTCAAATTCTTATTAATGTAACTGGAACTTAATTAGTTTTATTATCATTTTTCTTTTAGCCCCTGAAGAAGGTTTGTTTTCAAACCGAAATATTGGACAATTCTTTAAATATATATTTGTTGTTTAATTCTTTTGTTTACTTCATCATCGCCTTCCCGTAAGTTTTATTGTACTGATCCAGGTCTACAACTGGGAGATCCGGCACCATTCATTGGTTTGTTGCTGCAGACTTGCTGATATTTTATACAATTATTTTGAAATCTATGGAGAGAGCCATTCTAAAGCTATTTTTCTCATTTTCTAAATTTGATTCATTTTTATCTTTAAATTACTGTCTTTTAGATTGACACACCGCGATGTTTCCTTGGCGCAAACAAACAGAAGTTGACGTTAGGATTCTTTTTCTACTTTCTATTATTTTAACATGCCCGAATTGTGGTAAGTAAGTTGTTATAATAATAAATTTACAAAAATGGCCGTTTTTTATACGAAGGACGCATTATCCGTCTGAACGAACTTGGGCAAACATTTCGAAGCTCGTCTGGTTATGCGTCTCAATTATAAAGACGGGCACAAGACGCATTATGCGTCCAGAACGAACTACCTACTCTGTCTTTCACGACTTATTACGAAGGCTCATTTGTCCGACGCATAATGCGTCTTGTGCCCGTCTTTATACTTGAGACTCATAACCAGACGAACTACAAATGTTTGCCCAAGTTCGTCCAGACGGATAATGCGACTGTAGTATAAAAACGACCATAGACGCGTTATCCGTCTGGACCAGGCCCCCCGCCCACTTGTACGTCCGAGGGTTAAAGCTTTACTGAAATACAAATTATCGACAGTACCTTCAAGCGTCAGAGAATCTGTGAGCCTTTTGCCGCACACAAGTTTGGCATGTTCAGTTAATTTTGTTTTAATTAGATTAGTATTGTAATATCCTTTGTACGAAGTGCATCTTTTATTGTACCTTTCATTAATTTTGGTTTCGTATAGTGTCTGGTGTAGTGCATTTTAATTAGGTTTAAATAATTTTTTTAAAAAAATCTTACCTTTCTGTCTGATACAAGACTGTACAAACTGCATGTTGCTCTAATGACTGTCCTTCAATGCATTTGTAGTTTTCAATTGCAATTTTAAATATTTATATTAATGATTTGCGCATTGTTGTTAGCAGCATTAGAATTCGTGCATACATTGATTATCTATACAGTCAAAACACTCTTCATGGGCGTTCCTGGACATTTTTCAGCTTTAAGCCCGCCACCAGAATATTGCTGATATACACTTACCAATTTACACAGGTAGAGAACCAGTGTTTTACAGGCCGTAAAGTACCTTTAGTTGGACCTCTAAGTTACAATCAGTTTAAGTAAATGTTGTATTTCCTTTCTTCCATTGAATATGAATAACGCAAAGACAAAACTGTTTCAGAGTGGCATTATCAAATGTAAGGCCGAAGGAAGGTTTACATTCAGGTGTTCAGAATTCAAATGCCAATTTGCGGGGTTTTCTGGCGCAGAACTCCTGGACCACCTTGTCTGTGTCGATGCGCGTATCCCTGTACGCATGTAGAAGCGCAAGCCCAGAGAGCCTCTCTCCGTACGTAGTAGACATTGACACAAAACAGTTACTAGAGCCAAGGCTGGGGCCAGACTCGGCGTCGCCTGTCTACCTGTGCACAGTCTTGCGACATCTTGCTACACTTCGAATGTAAAACTAGAATGTAGGAGAGCAGCTGGGCTCTGTCTTGAGGAGCTGCATGCCATCAATAATGCTCTCCGCAAACATTTGGAATGTGAAAACGCACAAAAATAGATTGACTTTTTTTTCTTTAAATTTGGCCATTCAAAAAAAAAAAAAAAAACAATCCCGTGCTTAACTGGCTTACAGTCAGGTTCGCCCTGCTCTTTCACACGTCACACAGCTGTTTTACGGAACTTATTTTAAAAAAAATTATACAGTGGGAACTGCCACAAAACTAATCGCTCTAAACATTACAAATAAGGTATAAATAGCAAGGAAAACACAAAACGAAGGCATACATGGATAGAAAAACTTGAAGAGAATTAAAACGGATTGCAACTAGGGATTTTGGAATAGTGTGAGCCTATATCAGTTTTTCAAGGTTCATTTTTATTGTTTGTATCGGTTGGTATAACGCTTCTCCACAGCTGATAAGAAAACGTGACTGGCAATTAGCAAAATGAAATGGACAGCCGTGACACAGCCCCTTTTTTAAGCGCCCCTTTATTAAGCCTTCTCCCTTAATATTGTGGCCAGTAACCAGAGTCGGTCCTGGCGGGGGAGACTTTTAGTAAATCCCTATAAAGAGAGCCTTAAAGAGACTCAACGACTGAATTGCTATGCGACCAATTTGTGAGATAAATAGCTTAAGCATTGGATACCTTTAAAATACTAGAGGTTAAATCATTTCTTTATTTTTCTTTTAGTACCAGGAGATAATGACACTTATATAAACAGCAACTCAAGGTATGTTAGTAGATAAGTTTTTTTTTCGCTTTTTTTAAGCGAAGGAAAATTCTTCTTAGCCTAGATTGCTCGTTCAAAGTGCGCTTGTGCAATTGGTTTCTCATTCAGTGTCTTAAAAGGCTACATTTAAATTAAAGACAATATTCACGTGAATCTTATTTGAAATAATGAGTTTATAATGTTACACAGTTTCACTAGCATTACGGCGTCAGGACGGCTGTGATTGGTGTATCTTCCTTGTTACTATATTTATGATCCATTAGGGAACAATTTCCTCAGTGGTTGATGTAGATGTAACATTATCCGCTGTTTCTTCTTCTTCTTCTTCTTCTTCTTCTTCTTCTTCTTCTTCTTCTTCTTCTTCTTCTTCTTCTTCTTCTTCTTCTTCTTCTTCTTCTTCTTCTTCTTCTTCTTCTTCTTCTTCTTCTTCTTCTTCTTCTTCTTCTTCTTCTTCTTCTTCTTCTTCTTCTTCTTCTTCTTCTTCTTCTTCTTCTTCTTCTTCTTCTTCTTCTTCTTCTTCTTCTTCTTCTTCTTCTTCTTCTTCTTCTTCTTCTTCTTCTTCTTCTTCTTCTTCTTCTTCTTCTTCTTCTTCTTCTTCTT